TAGGAGCAAGGACGCTACTAGGAGCAAAGGGCATCGCTACTAGGAGCAATGACGCTACTGGGGGCTCCTGGCCAGGTGTCAAAGAAGCCAAGGATCGAGGAGCAGCTGCCGCGGATGGCTGTCCGGAGCCCCAGTGTATGAGCTTCGAAGGTCTAGCGACGAACACAAGGCATCCTGATTGCTGGAGTGCTAATGTAGAGGGATTGACAGCCCCCAAGGTTTTTGTATGAATGTACTCTTTTTTTGTTGCAGGACGGGATAGCTTCCTCCACTTAGTGACGCTCTGTCACCGCCCAGGTGGAGAAGTATCGAAGCTTTCAGACCTGGTGACCTGCTTGGGAGTAGAGCAGACTCTATAGCCCCCGACACTCAAGAGTGAAATCCACACATGCAGGGGTTTGGGACTTGATGCACGTTGGCAACTAAGATTGTCCAAAGGATTCAATTTGCCATCAAACGAGGGATGCCCTAGCCTGAACACAGTGCAGGTACCAAATACCCTTCGATGAGAAATGGCTAGTAGCTCAGGATCAGATCAGATGTGCATTTTCGATCGACCTCAGCAGAGATCCTAATTGCACATATTGTTGCGACTCATTGCTAGAGGTGTTCAGCTTATGAGTCCTGAACGTTGTGTCCTTCAGTCTCCAACAGTATCCAGTAGCGATGGCCTCCAACCTAAAAGTGTTCTTGTTATTAGTAGCGATGCCCTTTGTTACTAGTAGCTTCTTGTTACTACTCGTAGTAGCAATGCCAGGAGCTACAAATAGCGTCCTTGCTCCTAGTAGTAAGGCCAGGAGCCCCTAGTAGCCAGCATTGCTCCTAGTAGCGATGCCCTTTGCTCCTAGTAGCGTCCTTGTTCTCCTTGCAGCTCATGATGTTCTCCTTTGGCTTCAGCCTCTCGAGCCGCGGACGAGGCCAAGGAGAACATGGCCTGAGAAGCGCCTCTCCAAGGCGACGATCCAACGGGAGTGAGTGGAGGATGTCTTCGTCCGGCAAAATGGTGGACTCAAGATGACTCAAGTACCTGCCCTTGTTACTAGTAGCGATGCCCTTGTTACTACTATTGAGATGACTGAAGATATTCTTTGGGTTCGGCGGCTGGGAACCTGGATTTCTCTGTAGAAGAGAAAAGAACCACCACTGCAAAATGGTAGGCTCAAGCGAGGTCGGGACACGACCCCAAGCATCAAGCAAAGAAGGTACTACTCAGTGAGCAGATGCTATGCAACGCATGCAGCGATCACTCATCTAATCTACAGGATGTTGAGCGCACTTTCCATCACTTTGCAAGGCACCCCGGTGGTGCACCGTGGACTTGAGAGATGGCAACCAGGCGAGGTTTCTGTGCAGAGGTTTAGCACCTAGACCTAGCCGGAAGCAAAGCCCAACAGTTGATGTTTTTGAATAAGACAGACAGGAATTCTGAATTGGCACCATGTCGTGATAGTGCCACAGTGGCCGGTGTCATCGGCAAACAAGTAGAATCTATAGGTTTTGAATGGTTTTGAGGATTAACTAACTCTTCCAAGTCTTCCACGTGACCAGGTGGACAGGTCCTTGTCACCTTCACATTCTATTCGTCCTGAAGATTGCAGCAGTTGAACTTGATGTCAACCGACTGTATCGAGAACCTAGCTTGCAATAGTTTGCATATATTCACCATGGCCAACGGGCCAGGCACTGGTCAATCCCATGAACCATGAGAAAAAGCCGTGGACTCAGTGTGGACGGCTGCATGCGCTTTGCACTTCTTGGCAAAGAAAAACTTCTTCAGTCCCAAGGGTTGCCAATCTGTGATTTTTGATGCACCAATGACAAACAGCTCTCCAACATATTACAGAGAGCCTTCATCCATGGGTCTCAAGATGGAGCTTGACTGCTCCAGTAGGAGGGGAGTGGAAGAGATGGAAGAGTGGCGACCTCTCAGGTTGCGCCTGTTTCTACACTTGCTGAAACTGGGCTACAAGGAGATCGAGGCTGGCGAAAAAAGCAAAGAAACATAAAGAAACCATATCTATAGAACTTCGAACCAGAGCGATAAATTGATTCACTTGCCTGGTAAACGTCTAGCCTGGTTCGTGATCGTGGGATTGTGTTGGCACCGATGACTGGAGAGGTCGGCTTCCCGGCTGCCAGCCAGACTGACTTTGATTTCATTCGTTGGGGATGCCCAGAGGAAGTCGGTGAGTGAGACACGTTGGGGTCGCTCTCATGTCAAGAAGGCCGTGTTTTTGGTGACATGGGGGTCTTATGATGATCATGATGCAAAGATATACAAAGTCACCACCAGATGATGGCACTGAAGTCACCAGATGATGTCACTGGGCGCCACAAGGTTACATCATTGACGAGGGCCTGATTCCAGGAGATGTGTGGATCCAGGCTCCTCAAGCAGCGACATGGGCACGGAGATGATGAACACCATTTGAGCCGCACCTCTTCAACCTGCATGCAATGTGGCGTTGAACGGCAAGGCTTTAGAGGTGAAGCCAAGAGAGTGGAGGGATAGAGTGTGACTCAATCTAGAAGGGCAGTGCAAAGCAATGGAGGCAGACAGACAGGAATACGGGGACGATATGACAAGATACTTGTAGAAAAATTGCGAAGCGGCTCGCAGTCTGAAATTACTCCAGACTAAGCTGGATGCCTTCTAGATTGCAGGAGACTAGACATTCCTCCCCAGCCTGACTAAGTTTGCTTGGGCCTAAAGCACGTGCCTAGCAGCTAGCAGCACTGCCACACCTCAGGTAGTCAAACCTCACAGATCGATCGTGATGAAGTGTCACAGGTCTGAGATCTTGAACTCTCAAAACACCTATATAAGGATAAGAACGTATTCTCTCGGCAAACGGCCAATTCATTCGGAAGGTCTTGACTCAATGTAGAGAACCACTGATTCTTCGCACCATTGAAGGCGTGGAGAGTGGGAAGTGAGTTGGGTGAGACTGATAGAGTCTTTGTTTATCGGGACCGTTCCCACCGGTGCGCCGGTGCGAGCCTGAAGAGTCATAATGAAGTACACTGTAACTAGTACGAGTTGAGCTGAGCCAGCAAAGGCAAGACCAGTTAGTGAGGAATCAAGCAAAGAAAGGAAAGATGTCTACATTTTTGCCAAGAGCCGCTTGATGTTCCCAGGCGTGAAGGGAGCCAAGAATGTGGTGCCAGAGGCCCAGATTACTCTGGTGCTGCTCAGACTTCATCAAACGTCCTTTTAATGCAACCTCCAACTTCATGGTTCAAGACAGCGTTTGTCTGAAATCACCCCCTTGTTGTTGCCGCATTCCAAAGCTTGAATCTACTGGAGACTTTCACAAGGGACGTCTTTGGGTATCTGGTATTATACATTCGTTTGCCTCAGACACAGCCTCCCAAGCCAATAGCTGCCCTCCTTCAATGCGGATGGACCACCTTTGTGCCACCGGGGCTGAGGATCCACGTCTACAACTCCACTTCAGAGTTGTTGGTAGCCTCAGCTTGCCTCTGCCTTCTACGTGAAAGAGAGTATATAGATGATACAGCATTGAAACTACACTTGCAATCCTGGTAAGTGTGTCTTTAAGTGTGGACATCGTCGAGATTTTTGAGATGAGCCAGACTTGAACGACTTTACCGCAAAGTAGTTGCCGACAAGGCAGCGGCGGGTTGTCTT